TTACTGGAGAAAGGAATTGAAAGTATATATTCCAGTCAGTATTCGGCAGCAGCTACAGAAGTAGCGTAATATTTATGTGACAACCAGAAAGAACAGGGGAAAGCACGAAAAAAGAGAGTGTTTTAACACCTCAGTGTTCCCCGATAAACCTGCTGTTTTCTTGAGGAGTAAGTTAGGGTACGTGCATAAATGTGTTCAGAGCTGTTGCAGTGACAATCGGAAAATCTCAGGTGGGTCAGATGAAGAATTTTCAACTGTTTTATGAGGAATTAATTATGTTTTGGCAATGTCATAATTGTAATACTTAAAAATAACCCTGGAAACAAAGAGGTTGCATTTTGATGATGTGTATCTCATTCTTTATTAATAAATCTGCTATTACAGTTTGTGTTCAAAACAACCATGCAAAACACAAGCATACATTCCAAGTAATGCAAAGCTGTAAAAGTGCAGCTTAAGAGGAATATCTGATCCACTCATACAGCACTTTCCTCACCAAGAGACCAGGAAAAGAAAAGGTTTGTTGGAATCCTGTGAAATAAAATCATGTGATTTCAAAACCCAAAGGTCAGAAGTGACAGCAAAGCTCTGGTACTTGCCAACTCAGCAACTCTCAGTTCTTTCCCGTGCTAAAGTTGTACAGTGTGGAAGGTCAGGATGGGAGAGCACTGTGTATCAACCTGTTGTAAAAATTCCCAGTAGAAATCGAGAGGTAATCACAAGGGGCAGGAGAACTCAGCTGCAAGATATGTGTAGTGAGATAACTATATTTTATGAGCACGCTTTTTGCAGTTTTGTTACGTTCTAGACCATTTTAAAGTATTGTCCCAAGGAGCATTGCACTAGTGTTGAGATGATGTACACATGAATTGGAGTCGTGTTATCAGTGCAGAAAGGTGTACTTACCTTGCTGTATCTAATGGAGCCAGAAAGAAATCATGCTGAATTCCAGGAAAAAGCAAGGGAACTCCAGGGCTTGAATGTAAGTAGTGATATGGCCAGGAATCTCTTCTGATATTTGCTGTGTATCAGCTGGCTAGTTTCTGCCAGCTGCTCTTTTTTCAGCCCTTTGAATGTGGAGCAGACAATTGCTTTTATTTCCTTTGTATATTGGGAGTGCAAGCATAGAATATGCTTGACTGGGTAATACAGGAAATTGTGCTTTGAGGAAACTAACTTAATATTACTAGACATTTGTGCTGATAGGAAACTGCTTTGTACTTACACAACCTTTACAGTATACCAACATTTTGTTTGTGGGCTGTATCTGGAATTGTGATTTGCTACTTTATTTTTAGCACAGCTTTTTAAAGGAGAAACTTCTTATGGTCCGTGCAAGGCATTTGTTTAACTCTGCTGTGTCTTCAAACCTCACCATTGCTTTGACAGTCAGAAATACTGGGTTTGTATGGACAGCCGCATGCTTTGGTCGCTCTGTGTGTGTGAGAACACTTACCAGAGGGATATTTCCAGGAGAGAGCATGCCTTGGGAGAACTGATTTACCTGCTCTGGTGCTGCTTCAGGTAAAATGTCACTTTTCTAATAGTTTTAAACTGCAGTTCAGGCTGTCTGATGTGTTGAGGTGCAGTTTCACTCTTCCTGGAAGAGATGCACTTTGTGTCCCTTCTGTCTGGGCACGGTGGGATTTTTGCCTGGAAAAATACTTTGCCTGGAAATGGAATCATTTACAAGAAGTTGCGACTGCACAAACTTACAGTGAGCCTCAAATTTCCTTATAGATGTAAAATAAATTTGTTAGCTGCAGAGTGCATGAACTCATCAAAATAGCTCAAATCAGAGGGTCTGCCTTAAAGTCTACTTTTGCAGAAAAAAAGTCTGAGTTTCTTAAATATGCACACGATCCTCCTACGACACAGAGCTTTCAGTTTTTAACTTGAAGACTGCTACAGCAGAAGCATCTTTAAGATAGAAACAGAATGCTGCTTAACTATGCTTTTCACTGTGAAAGTTAAGGTGGCACATACAGATCATAAACATCCCAAATGGCAAACAGTCTATGTTTAGTGCCATTTTAAACTTTCAAGAAAATGTTTTTCTTTGCATTGAATGAAACTAAGATTTCTTTTGTTGGGAAGAGTTCAATGTGAATAATCTCAGCCATATCTTTGGTACTCCAACCAGAAGAATAGGGGAAGTGTGACGATAAAGCTTGAAAAATGCTCTTCATCTCTTGTTTGAAGGGATGGCAAGGTCGAAGACAACCTAATTTGTCTGCGTTAAATCAAATTTTGCTAAGGCAAGAGGTTGCACGTTGTAGAATTTACTGTAATATAAGATAATTAAAGAAATTCATTTCCCCAACAAGTCAGCATTGATGCATTGTGGCAGAAAGTGCCTTCTACCCCTCACCCATGCATCTGGACCGCTTCACGCTGGCTTGATACGAAGTTGTTTTAAAATAAATACTGTCGTTTTATGCTCTTAAAACAATGAGTTCACTACACCTCTGAAAAACCAGGCTGCTTATGTAAGTACCTAAGTAAGTCTGTATCATGCCAGTTTGAAAATAATTTTGTAACTTTTACATGCCTTCTCTCCCCATGAAGCAGATACAGTGGCAGGGCATTGTGCTTAAAGGCTTTTTTTTTTTTTTCTTCTTTGAAACATCTAAGTCTTGGAGAAAGCAATTTGATCTGGTAAGACACAGCTGATGTCCCTGAATCTGGGGGTTTGTTCTTGGCTGGGTTATCATAGCCATGGCTGAGCTCTGTTGTGATAGCCCTGAGAACTTCCAGAGGTCCTTGCCAGCCTATATGCCTGTGATTCTGTGATCGGCCTACTGTACGGCACAGAAAATGCACGCGACTTGCCTAAACTTCATCTTTTTATTGAGATTTAAAAAACAAAGAAAGGATTCTCTGTGTACACTTGCACTGTCAACTGCACTGAGCCCCCATCCTGGTGGGAGGCTGCAGGTGTCAGTAGGGCAAATAATAATTGTGAAGTCAGAAAACTGCATGGAAAAGTAAAAGCAAAATCCTAGCCTTTATTAGTGTATTTTGAGAGCTGTGTACCAGCAAAACAGTTTTATTCTCCAGGTCTGATTTAATCCTTAATGCACTTCTCATTGTTTAATTTGAGATACTTTTGGGATGCTCTTGCCCCATATTCTTATTTTGGCTCTTACTCTAGGGTTTCTTGCAGGGAAAACTGATGTTTTATTTACATTGCTTAATGTGCTGTGTTATGAAAAGCAGGTTCCACTGTAGGAACACTGGTCACATTTTGATTTTGCTTAAAGATTCACTTGTCTCTCCCAGACCTCTGGAAATGAGCAGGGGCAGCACCCAGGAGCATTGAATTGGAGTTGTTTTGGTATTTTCCTGAAATTCTATTCAGGTCTGAAACTTTTCCCTTCTTTATATTGACAACAAAATCTGTGATCATATAACAATTATTACTAGTAGTAACCATACTACTGCAATCACCCTACACCTTCCCACGCTGGGGAATCAGTCAATGTAACGCTGGTCACAGGTAGGTGAGGAATAACCAGCTCTGAGCTTCCTGTACAAGTCTAATTCAGCTCCTTTACTAGTCTGGACTGTGCTCCAATTTTTGCCTCACTTGCTATTTTGCTTTCTTTTAAAGAGCAGAGTTTGCAGCCTAAATGACGTTCTTCTAATAAAGCTTTTAGGCATACCCCATGCGATCGGGCGGAAGTACGGGAATGTAAAACAGGCTCCTGGCTGTTCCCAGCTGCCGCTTCTGCTGTTGGAGAGGGACTGGAGCCCAGGGCACGAGTCTTACATGGCTGAAGGTGTTATCTCTCATCTCTGATGACCTCATCTTGAGAAGTTATGGGACTGAGCTGTTCCCTTTCGATTGGCTGCATGCTACCTGGCCACCTCTTTCTTCCTTGCAGTGGCTGTTTGCAGAGCCCAAGACTTTGTACCCGGTGTAACTGATCTTACTTTTCAATAAAATAGCTTCTGTTACTGCCATTTTCTTCCCCAACTTCATATGGAATTTAAAATCAGACTTTGTTCTGTGTTACGGGCTGAATGCGCTTGATTACTTCTGGCACAAAGTTAGAGACTCGTGTTTCAGAAGTGGCTGTCCCCCAGAAAAGTGCTTTGGCAGCGGGGCAGCTACCGCAGCGTGACCCCCGGCTCTCGGCCCGGCTCTGTAGAAAGGCGGCACTATGCTGGATTGTGGAAAAAGGGTCTTTCAGTGGAACACATAGCAAGAGATGGGGCGAACTGTTTAAAAGGGACGCCAGCTCTGAATTTATATGCAACCTGCCAGGAACATCACGCAGGGAGAAAAGTGGAGAGCAGTGGGAGGAGATGCTCTTCAGGCTTGTGGAAGGAGGGAGATCGGAGAGGAGGGTATACTGCTCTCATGAAGCTCTCTAAGTCTTAGTCATTTATGAGGGTGGCATGTACGTGGTTAGAGAATAATAGCATATCTTGCTTTATACTTGAAAGGATTAAACTAAAGGACCAGGATGGTCATAACTAGGAGGGGCTCTGAGGGAGCAGCTACAAACCGTCCCTCAGTGGATTCAGGCCACCCGTATCGCTGCGCTTTGTTTCTCTAACGCCTTATCTCAAGGGTTTGTAGAGGAATCCTGAGCTTGTGGGCTGTGCCAGACCCAGAATCAGCAACTGGACTCAAACCATACCTGAGCTGAGAAATGCCTGGGGGTCAACTTCAGTCTGACAAATGCTATAGTAGCCATGAAGAAAGAGCTCTTTGCTGCAAAGAGTCTTTCACAGTTTTGACCTTTAGGTTTTTGTTTAAAACTTGTGGTGTTTGTTTACTGGGAATTCCTGCGGTAGGTTACTGAGGGTGCTGTGTTAGTGGAGTTTCTGTTGGAATAATTTTTTTGCTTCTTTTAGGGCAGTAATTATTTACTAAGTATCAGCAGTTAGCTGGAATGTCTAGTTAATTATCAGCTCGCCTCTGTGAATGTGCACGTAGTGAAAATACTTAAATAAAAATTTGAAAGTTGTTCTTTTTCCTCTTGTTTCAGGTACTGGGTCCATGTGTCACATCTGAATTGTGTTGTACTGATTCTCTAAGTACCAGCTCGGACCATCTCCTTGATGCACACTCACGGCATCATGGCCAGTACTCAGGAGCGCCTGAGCTTGTCTTCCTCTCCAAACTCGAACGGCAAAGCTTTCTGTGAAGATAAAGACTTTAGTAGGTTACATGATGAACATGCACCTACTGGAAACCACCCGTCCCCCGAGCTCATAGAGGATGTGCGTGAGAAGGGCTTGCTGCAGGCAGACCTCATCGAAAACATGAGCAGCCCGGTCACTGCAGCAGTGCTGACCAGCATCAGCGAGGACTCTAGGGACCAATTTGAGAACAGCGTGCTGCAGCTGCGAGAACAGGATGAGTCTGAAACAGCCATTCCTCAGGGCAACAGGAACACTATGGATGGAGAGAGCAACAGCGGAGCGGATGATGTTAAAGTCCAGTTCAACAGATCAGGCAGCGGGAGCGGTGGGTTTCTTGAGGGACTTTTCGGTTGTCTGAGGCCCGTGTGGAACATCATAGGCAAGGCATACTCCACAGACTACAAACTGCAACAGCAAGGTAAGTAGGGAAGCAAACCTGTATTGCTTCTGGGGGAATGTGTGAAGATGAGGAAAGCAACCCAGGGCTTCTTCCCAGCTTTCCATGTGACCGTTCTTGTCTCGTGCAGCCCTATTATGGGTTTGCAGAGAGAAATCCTGCACTGTATAGCCAACAGCTATCATTTGTAGCAAAGGCAGCTCGTGATGGAGTCAAAAACAATTGCCTGTTCTGACCCATGCCGTGGACTGTTGTGACAAGGTCTGAACCTGAACCGAGTATTTGTGTAAGTGAGGATCAGAAAGAATTGTTGTTGAACACAGATATTGTACCAGCTACTTCATTTCTGCAATCCTTTCATGCCAGATGAAAAACATTGACATAGGCATTTCTACTCCTGCATGTGTATGTGCAGGCTGTCTCCAGTTGACCACCAAATAGCAGAAGTATTGCTTCTCTATGGGCACGTTACGTGAACTTTTATGTCTTTTTGTTCAGGAGTAATTTTGCTCTTTAAAATATCATTCAGTACTTATCTTTCCAGAAATACATCCTTTAATGTTTATACCTTTTTCATTTAGATGTGTAAATGTGTAAGTGTTTGTGTGAGTGTGGCTATAAATATATATCTCTCTCTATATAAAAAAAAAAAAAAAGTGGTTTGGGAATAAGTAATGTCCCAGTCAATCACAGACATATATCTTTAGAGGCTACTGAAAGCTGAAGAGCAGAGTATGCTCTGCCTTTGGTGTCTAATTTCCCCCTAGCACGGGGGGGGGCAAGTGGCAGATGGGGAAAGAACAAGCTGTCATTAGAATTAAGGAGCTGAAATGGTTGAGGCTTATTGAAAATGGGAACAGCCTGGCCACCGTACTATACCGTGGGGTAAAAGTCTCCTCTGTTGCTGTGATCATGACTTGATCAAATGGGTTTCTGGCATAGACAAATTATAAGATGTGTGGTCAGAACACCCATCTGAGTGGTTCATATGTAAACCCCCAAGTTGGGCTGGGGAACAGTTCCCAATATGAGGGAACAGAGCTGTTCAGTAACATGTTGGGTGAATCTGCCTTGAAAAAAAAACCTTACTACTTCTTGTGAGAGTCAGTCATTTCCAGCTCACAACTCTGAGCAGGGACACGCGCCTCCGTGTTGCAGAACGGCAGGTGCCTTCCTAAGCAGCAGCCTCTTGTCTCTCCGACCTGTGTGCTCAGCAAGAGTCTACTTGTTCCTGAAATCCTTTGGTTCTAAGTTGCATCTGCGTGTTGTAAACTCAGTATGTCATGCATGGTTGAGTCTATAAATAAAAAAGGTGACTGAAAATTCCTTGGGGAATTAACACTTTTGGGGTGATTGCACAATATGTGGGGACAGATGTAGCGAGTTTTGGAAGAGGCTGCATCTGGCTGGGGAGCCAGCATGCCTTGTGAAGGAAAACGAGCTTCAGAGCAGTGGGGTGACATCCAAAGGAGTTGCGATGTCAGCGTGTCTGTGTTCTGCTGCTTTGGTTTGGATGCTCACTCGTTTTAAGTGAAGCTGAAACTTCTCAAGGAAAGGAAAGAGAGATGTAGAGTTATGTCGGCTGCTTCCAGCAATTCTGTGAGTATCCCGTGCAAGCTCTATCTCACCAGGTCAGACTTCTCGTTGTCGAGAGCTGCTGAGCCATCACGTACTTGCACATGCCTGTAAGCTCAGGTGGGTGGCTTCAGGAAGGCTACCTGTGAGGCGAAGAGATTGTATTGCGCATATAATTGGGACAGCAGATGCATTGGAGACCACAGTTTAATATGTGCTCTGATGGCCCACTGGGGACACTTTCTTTTGTATGAAAGTCGCTAATAAAAAAGATTGAAGTGCTAACTAATGAAAACAAGCAGCTGAGAGCTTTGCTGGGTTTGGAGGGTGCACATAGAGCTCCTCTTTATACACCCAGAACTATCTCGCTGTTCTCAGTGTCATGAGCACGTTTAGAGCCATAGATTCATGGATGCTTTGCAGTTTGTTGGCATTAGGCCCTTCCTAAAAGGGTAATTTTGAAATGGCTACAGATGTGGTAAGACTGAAGATTAATTGGGATCTGCTATCTGTGGCCTGTGTGGTTTAGCTGCACCTTCGGTGTCTTCACTGTCATAAATGAGAGTGAAAAGAAGATTGTTTGTTTGTTTGTTTTATTTATTTTTCCACTGGAGCTGATCAGTTGGACAGATCTCTGATGGTAGTAGTGCGCTTCTATTATCCACGGATAAACCTTTTAAAATTGCTTCTTTGTTAAAACTTGAGGATTTTGTCAGAATATTCATGTCCTGTTTTCCAGATGATCTCATTCTTGCTTCTTGCCATCAGGAAATCTTCTTTGTGTGTGTTTCATCAGCTACATACAAACCAGCAGTTTAGTAACTGCTGTACATGATTGCTTTTATTTTTTCTGTCTTTTAGCAAGAGTGCAGAGGATGCAAGTTTTGTGTTTGTGCAAGTGTTATGTGTTTGGAGAAGACAGGCTGTGGAAGTGTCTCTGGCCCTTCTAGCAGTAGAAGGGGGCTTGCGATGGCCTTTCATTCTCTTGGGAGCTTATTTACAGCTGTGGGCTGGTGCCGTAGATCTGTGCAGATGATCCTTCCCCTCTTTGTGACACAACTGCTTTAAACCAGAGGAGTGTTTGGCCACTAGTCCAGGAGCAATCCTTTGGGTTGGGCTGAATCAACAGCTGGGGTAGGGGTCCGGTTTGGACGTGCACCCGTGGGAACTCCATGTTGCCTGTATTCACCAGCATCTCTGCTTACCCGTTTTGGGTCTTCTTCAGGCAGCTGCTCCTCTTCTATGACCAGAAGTTGCCCGAACACTAGAACACAGTGGTGGTGGTGTGATGTGGTTGCAAGTAGTAAAATATAAATAGGTTTCATGCCCCTTGCAAACGTCTGATACTGGAGTCCATATTGCCTGCTTGGCTCGTGACTTGGCAAATGGGGGAAAAGCCAAGAACAACTTTTACGTGATTCCACCTTAGCTTCTTGTTGAAATCACTCCTTGAGTTTCCTTCTCAGCATCTGAGACTGTCATCAAGAGGAGTGCATTTCTGTGCTTCCCTTGAGGACCCACGCTGGACAGAGCTTTGCTCAGCTGGAAGTTGCTGCAGGGTGGTCTGCTGGTTGTCTAAGCAGTGCCAGTTGCTGCTGTTAAATGCTCTACCTGCTTGGTGAATAGTCATTCCTGCAGGGACCATTTGCTTTTGTATTGGTCAGTGGCTGCCAGTTGGTTATCTGAGGTTTAAGTATTTTGGGTTTGACCAGTAAAATCACTCCTGACTCTTTTTTTCCCCATTGTTTGCCCTGATTTCTACAGGCTGTTGGTGAGCGTAAAGACCGTTGGTGAGTGCTTTCAGGGAGATAGACTTAGTTCTTTAATTTGTGTCTACCAGTTATTTCACTTGGATCATTGGGGCTCTAGCACTTTATAGTATGACTTGTTTGTGCTTTCTATGGACTTGTTAGACTTTTGAGCCATTTCCTTTGGATTAAGAATCTGTCTTCAGGAGTTGCATTCACCTTCCCTTTCACAAGTTACGTGTTTATTGTCATTGTGTGACATTTTTGCGTAAACACGGAGACCAAGGTGCTTTATGAAGTGTGCTTGTGTCTGTGGGTTTTTTTGTAAACCAGAGATGATGCTTGTCATAATGCCAATGCTGGCGAGAGGCCAGCGCTGGCAAACAGCAAAAAATTTGCTTCAAATAGATTGACTCAATGGCTCAGGCTGCTCCTGCCTTTCTTCCCCATGGGAAACAGATTCCCATCATTCTACTCAAATGGTTCTTAATCACCTTAGAAACGCAAGGTCTGGCGTAATTC